AAATAGGATTACCATATGATCCAGCAATCCGACTCCTGGGCATACATCCAGACAAAACTCTAATTTGAAAAGATACCTGCACCCCAATGTTCACAGCAGCACTATTCACAATAGCCAAGACATGGAAACAACCTAAATTTCCATCAGCAGATGAACTGATAGAGAAGATGTGGTGTGTACACACACACACACACACACACACACACACACACACACACACAATGGAATATTACTCAGCCATAAAAAAGAATGAAAAAATGCCATTTGCAGCAACATGGATGCAACTAGAGATTATCATACTAAGTGAAGTAAGTCTAAAAGAGAAAGACAAATACCATATGATGTCAATTATATGTGGAAACTAAAATATGACACAAATGAACCTATCTACAAAACAGAAACAGACTCACAGACAAAGAGAACAGACTTATGGTTGCCAAGAGGAAGGGGGAAGAGGGAGGGACGGACTAGGAGTTTGGGGTTAACAGATGCAAACTATTACATGTAGGGCTTCCCTGGTGGCACAGTGGTTGAGAGTCCGCCTGCCGATGCAGGGGACACGGGTTCGTGCCCCGGTCCGGGAAGATCCCACATGCCGCGGAGCGGCTGGGCCATGGCTGCTGAGCCTGCGCGTCTGGAGCCTGTGCTCCACAATGGGAGAGGCCACAACAGTGAGAGGCCCGCGTACTGCAAAAAAAAAAAAAAAAAAACCATAATGGCAAAGAATATTAAAAAGAATGTATATATGTGTAACTGAGTCTCTTTGTTGTACAGCAGAAATTAACACAACATTGTAAATCAACTATACTTCAATTAAAAAAAAACGTTATAGGACAATTACCAGGAATTTTATCTCCATGTATTGGAATATACTTAAAATAGATAATTTTTAGCACCTGCCATAGAGTATTACAATGAGTGCTTTTAAGTGAGGGAAGAGAGGGTATTGCCCCACTGTTCACAGGCGAGGGGTGAAGGGAAAGAAACCCTTTGCATTCCCACTTCTTTTATGAGATTTGCCAACTGAAGTAGTAAATGGATGAGCACAGACTCTGGAGTCAGAAGATGAGGGTTTGAATCTCAATTCTGCTGTTACTTGCTGAGTAGTGCTGGGCACACAGTTGCTTAATATCTTTGAGCTTTGGTTTCCAGATAAAAAATGGAGGTAATGCCTCTCTCTCCAAAGAATGTGGTATTGCTGAATGAGCACAAGATTACAAACCAATGAATCCTTTCCTTCCAATCCCAGTTCAGCCATTTACTTGGAGTGCATACTTGGGTAATTTGCCTAATTACTCCAAGCTTTAGTTCTCTCCCCTGTGAGTAAATGCCACTTGTCCTTCCAATCTCATAGGTTGGTGTTGAGGATATAATTCAGGTCAGAAAAAAATACCTTGTAAATAGTAAAGCAAATGTGTCAATGCAAATCCACTATCATATCAATGTAAAATTTTGCTACACTGTTTTTGTTCAGATTAAATATACTTGCAGACCAATCTTCAAAGGATCATCTTGTTACTTTTCTTGCTCAAAGAGGACAAAGGTAACAGGTTTTTATTCATTACTTACAGACCTCGTGGTTGCATGTCCCTCACCATGCGATAGAGCTCTGTTTAGGTACCGTTGACTGTGCCCATCCTTGGCTCCAGCCAGCTAGGACAATCCCATCCCCTGCCATGGTGATTGCTTCTGGGATGCTCTATAGAGGCTGCAGTTAGTGTTGAAGGCTTTGTTTCAAGAGTTGCAAGATGGGTCACTCTTTCCGTCTAGATGTGACGTAAACCTGGCAGCTGCCTACAGCCATGTTGGTATCATCAGGGGAGAGAAGCCAGAGCTGAGAAAAATCACAGGGAGAGAGCCATTGCTCTGATGATGTCGTGATCTTCTGGACCAAACTGTGACCAAAGCTACTGCACTTCTGGGCTTTTCTGTTAGGTGAGGCAATAACTTTTCTTGATTGAGTTGGTTTTTCTGTCCTTGCAAGTAAAATAATCTTAAGAAATATACTATGAGCTTTGAGCAAGTTTCATTAACCCCCTAAACATCAGTTTCCTGATCTATAACGGGGGATCATATAATACCCATCATCTATCATCTATTACTGCAACCGCAGTGAGGTGCAATAGTGCTTGAAAAATGCACAGCACAGTGCTTAGTACAAAGTAAGAATTCAATAAAGTGGAGCTATTTTTGTTATGTTTGGAGCTCTAGACACTGTGCTAAATGCTTTCAGTACATCATTTCCCTTAATCATCACGTCAACCTATAAGGTAGGATTTATTATCCCCATTTTACAAACGAAGAAATGAGGGTTAGAGGGTTTAAGTGACTTGCCCATGCTACCAAGAGGCAGAGGTTTCACCAGGTATGATTATTCCTTTTTTTAAAAATCTTTTGACCAGATGATGTTGAGTGTACATTATCAGTAAAACGCTAATAGGCCAAAAATGGTTAGGTATTAGGGACATAGCAGTAAATACACACATTTTCTTTGAGTTTAGTTTTAGAGGATACAGTCTTACAACTAACCGGATTACAAGAGATTAGATTGCCTTCGATTTACTAGCATCATGTTTCTTACAACTAAGCTAACCAGCCAATAACATCTAAATCTTACAGGCACGTATAAAGCACTAAAAGTAAGTTACGCAACTAAATGCAGGACATACAGAGGTCGTTTCCATGTACAACTTAAAGCATACATACACATATTACATTCCAATTGTTATTTAATTTCTCCTAAAACCCTGAGCTGAAATGTAACATTTCTCTTACATTTGATTTCATGGGTTAAAAAAAATCTTTTTCATATGTACTGTAAAGGTATTATCTCTATATTTTCTCTGCTCTTTCTGACATGATGTGAACTTGTATGTGGTTCTACGGAGTCTGAACAATTAGACGTGATAATGGAAGAAAAAAAATAGACTTAGGATCTCCACTACACTATTTTCTTAGGAAACCTACAGGGAAATCTAATGGTGTGTTTTACTGTTTACCTGTAGGTGACATTTTCCAGATGTCTTTACATGTCATGGAGTGCCCGTGACAGAACATCAATCACTAGGGAGAGGAAAGAACAACTGTATGGAGAACAGTTAACCTGAACCTCTGCCTTACAAGTGTCGTCTTGCGGGCAGATCAGGAAATTCCTTACAAGCAATCTATAGTAAGCCCCGAGAAACATAAATAGGCTCTGGACTTGTCTTCTTAACAACTAGGTCAATATTTTGTCTAAGAAAACGTAATTGTGTCAGGACACACCCCCAATGAGAAGTCAGAGGCTTTCATCCTGCCTCACTCCAGGCTTTCGACGTGAAGTTAGATGGAAGGGTCTGAGAGGAGGAGCTGGAAAATCGTCCTAGAGATAATATAAGCGATCCTTGATTTTGTACTGAGGAGATTTTTATCTGTATCGAAGTCATACATGAGGAAGCTAACAAACAACTGGAAAGAGTTTGTTCTTTTTCTTTTGATAGCTTAGTTTTTAGATACCGAGAGCGTGGAAGTGGACAGATTTGTAGTCAGACAGATCTAGCTTTGCTCTTTCTAGATGAGAGACTTGGAGTATATCATTTAACCTCTCCAAGCCTAATTCTCATCGCAAAATGAAAATACAGGCACACCTTGTTTTATTGTGCTTCACTTTGTTGCACTTCAGAGATATCATGTTTTTTACAAATTGAGGATTTGTGGCAATCCTGAGTCACAGTTTCCCAACAGCATTACTTTTTAAGTAAGGTATGTACATTGTTTTTTAGATATAATGCTATTGCACACTTAACAGACTACAGTATAGTATAAACATAACTTTTATATGCACTGGGATGCCAAAATATTTGCGACTCATTTGATTGCTATATTTGCTTTCTTTCAGTGGTCTGGAACCGAACCCACAGTATCTCTGGGGTATGCCTGTAATAAAACCTGCTTCACAGGGTTGTGTAATACACGGGCACAGCTCATAGTAGAAACTCAATAAAAGGTAGTTTATTTCCCTTTGATTCTAAGAAATGATTTATTTGATTTAATGTCTTATAAGAAAACTGTCTGTCTTAGAAATATAACCTCAACATCACTGGACTTCACCAGCATGGGAGTACTAATAATACATAAATACTAATACATTTTTAAAACCTATTTCCACATTTAACTAATACAGTAATTCCTGGGTATCACTAGGGATGTGTCTTGTGCGTCTCTCATCTTCATTCAGCCCTTTGCTGATGTCTGCTGCCCAGGAAGATCAACTTGGGGGCCGTGCCTTGCCCCTGCGTCTCCTGGTGATCCTCAATGAGAATACGCTGGTTGTGTTTTCTCTGAGAACCCTAGAGATACCCAAACTAATACCGTCAAGAGGCCAAGATGACATGACTTCCTGTTAAGACTTCAGTGCAACACAAGCACACTATGTATGCAGAGATGATCCTCTCTCCCCATTTTCTCCCTTGGCCACTTGGACCACAAACAGCACTACTTGTGCCTCCCTATGAAAAAAGCTTCTTCAGCTTCTTCTTAATCCCTCATCGGCCATAAGCAAGGACCAGGAATCTCTCTATCTCAAGGTCCCCTATTCCATATAATCCCACCCTAATGCAAACCAATTTCTGCATATTTCAGACTGTCAGTTTCCCAGTTCATCATAACCATCCAGACTCTGAAATGCAGTTTAGGCTCAGCTGGAACCCTCTCGACAGTAACAATTACTGCACATTCTGATATTCTGATTCTTCATCCACTAGAGTTCTGCCCTCCAAATCAAAAGTATACAACAGAGGGCTTCCCTGCTGGCGCAGTGGTTGAGAGTCCGCCTGCCGATACAGGGGACATGGGTTTGTACCCCGATCTGGGAAGATCCCACATGCCGTGGAGCGGCTGGGCCCGTGAGCCATGGCCGCTGAGCCTGCGCGTCCGGAGCCTGTGCTCTGCAACGGGAGAGGCCACAACAGTGAGAGGCCCGCGTGACGCGCAAAAAAAAAAAAAAAAAGTATACAACAGAGTAAACTGTGTAATATAAATTTATTCTGTGACATTTTCCTCATTGAAGATATTTTAAAATATATCAATATTTTATGAAAAATAAATACCTAGTATAAGAATTTAGACAATACCTGTAATATACATGATTTGACCCTGAGTATCCTCTTTTTTTTTTCATTTCAAACAATATTTTTAAAAAAGTAACATGAAAACGATAAGGATTACTGCATTCTTCATGTATCTGGTGTCTCATAAATTTTAATTCAACTGCCAGTTCTTTTCTCAACTATACACGTTAATGCTATTTGCTTCTCGTTTTGAATGGGGAGAGTATCCATTTTCGGTTTAACAGTGATATTTAGGTCTTCTTTCTCTGCTTCTTCAAGAAAATTCTTCATGCTGAGTTTGAACAGTAATCGAGGGTCTGTTCCAGAAAGTGGTGGGCAATTACAGCTCTCTCTAATTTTGAGTGCCTACAAAGAAAGAATACAACACAGAATATATACACATATATAAATTAATTAAGGTTATTCCAGTAATTCCTAATATGCTCTATGTGAAACAATGAAATATAAGAATACATTCTGTATTTTTGCAATAAAAGGTATCTTAACTACAACATATGAAAGAGAACCATATATAAATTCATAGTAAATAGTTATATCTACATGATTTGTTTATATAATAAGATATCTGCAAAAAACAACTGTATTTGCAATGGCTGCCCACTGTCCTATTGGGGATAAATAAGGCTTCTTGGAAGTATCTCTATGATTTGTCAAACTCGAGCCAATCCTGAGAACATTATTCAGATTAGAGAATATCTGAAGACGCAGAGAGATTTTTTTCAAGAGAGAGAAAACAACAGAAAATAGATGTGAACATACTGAAAGAAGATATACATGACTGGGACAGTCTGGGGTGGAAATGATGCTAATAACCTAGAAAAGAAAGCAAATCAAAATCATGACAACTTTTAACTCCAGGAAAAATAAAACGATGCAGGGAAAAGTAAGCACAGTATACGACATGGCTCAGCTGTGATTAGTGTTTACAGTTTTTAAAAACTGCATCTTTATCTAACCAAAATCACAACTTAACCATATTGGGAAGGGGGAGAGCTGGATACATGTGTGTGTATGCACAGGGTGTGACAGTGGTAAGGGAGAACTTAATTCTCATCCTCTGTGGGGGAAAAGAAATAGATAATACCTAAAACCGAAAAGTTAGGAAGTAGCAATATAAGCACGTTATACAGATAAGGTGGGAAGTACCAAAAGAATCATTTAATAGAGTTGCAAATGGTTACCCTTGAAACTGAAGGCGGGATAGGGAGACTGCCGCTTTAAGTACTAGCCTTAGAGAACTATGTGCTTCTTCAAAGCGGGTACACGAATGACTTTAAGACATGAAAACTAAAATAGCAATTTTTTTAAGGGAAAAAAGTCTTAATACCTAAGGGGTTTTAAAAGAAAGATGTTTAAGGGGAAAAGCTAGTTTAGGTTTTTACTCCTTCTAAATGTTTGATAGTGATGCATGTTAAGGGAGGAAAAGCAGGGGAGGGGAGAGTCAGTGCTTGGGGAGTAGGAAAGTTTTAAAAATGTAAGTTCTCACTGATAAAATAATGACTTGGAGCAGTGGGGAGAAGACCTAAAGGACAAGGACCTGAGGGAAGAGGTCGCATGGGTACCTAGAAGAAGAGAATTCCAAGAAGCAGCAGTGAGTGCCAGAACCTGAGAAGGGAGCATGGCTGGAATGCTGTGGAGGAAGCCAGGGCAGCTGCAGCAGAGGCGGGAAGGAGGCAGGAGCAGACTGCGGGATCTCACAGGTCACGCTGCGGATTTTGGGTTTTCCTCTGAGTGGGCCTGCTCCTGATATTTGTGGGGTCCATGGCCAGAATGCAAACGGAGGCTCAGATACCATATATTTAAACATCTAAAATGACTACATAAAAAAATGTTCTATTCTACTTTGAGGAACAGACAATCAAAATGACTCTGACGGGGACGTTCCTGGTGGTCCAGTGGTTGAGAATCCACGTTCCAATGCAGGGGACGCGGGTTCAATCCCTGGTTGAGGAACTAAGATCCCACATGCCGCAGGGTCAACTAAGCCCGCGCACCGCAACTACAGAGCCCATGCCCCACCTAGAGAGAAGCCCGCGCACCACAACAAAAGATCCCGTGTGCTGCAACTAAGACGCAATGCAGCCAGAAATTAATTAATTAATTAATTAATATTAAAAAAAAAAGTAGCTGTACCTTTTTAAAAAAAATGACTCGGACAGCCAAGTACAAAATTAGAATTCTTTAATTTCACATGTAAGGTTGCAGGGAGCCTACCCCAGCTGCTGCCACTGGCCTGCTGTCCACTCCCTTCTCCTCCCACCCCTGGCCTACCTGGCACAGTAAGGGACCTTGTGTGCGTGCGTCCAAAGGAAGAGGTCCATGCAGGCCCTGAAAGCGGGCTCCAAAGTGTTTGGGTGAGGAATTCCACTATCCCAAATACCAGAGTGCCATGTGGTGAGGGACTACTCCCTTAGCTCCCATGGGAGAGGGGGCATGCAACCAGAGGCAAGCTAGAAAAGGGTCTTTTTAAATGGTCGAGGCCAGGGCAAGAGCTTGGGTCTAGGAGACCTTTGATCCTGAATGAGGCTATAAGTTACCAAAATAAACTGAAGAGGAAAAAGCATTAAAGTGAAATTCTTTGGTGATAGGGGCCTTGTCTGAAATTTCTTTGTATCTCACAATACAGTAGATTTAGTATGTATTGAGTGTTAAATAAATGTTAGTTAAAGTAAATTGAACTGAAAAAAGGAAGAAAATGTTTCCCAGCTATAGCACTAAAGTAAAAAGAAATTCAGACCCTCAGCTAAATGGTGACCTACTGTCCAAACAAGGATACCTTTGGGAGTGAAAGGAAATGCTATTAAAATAAGATTTACACTGAGACATCAGGCACAAACTGAGACTGTCCTGTCAAAACTGGGACGTACAGTTTACTCTTGCTTTAACTCCTTTACAACCATGTTGATGTTCTTTTCCAAGTGAGAAGCCAACCTGTCACGGCTGCTACATCCCATGCCTAAGGCCTTCACTGGTATCAGTAAAGGGCCAGGTGTGGAGTTCAGCAGGTAGTAGCTGGCACAGCTGAATTTAGCAATGAGAGATGCAAAGCAGCAAACAAAGAGAAGAGTGCCATATCCTACAACCTTTTATGTTCAGTGAAAGCTCTTCTCTTTCCCTTAAATGATTTTATTCAGGACTTTCACATTCAACAAATATTTAGAACGTCACACTGAGTAAGGTGCTAGGTACACATTGATCAGAACGAAGTCATGATCCCTGCCCTCATGCAATTTACTTTGCGTTTCCCCACGACTGGGCATTTGAATTGTTTCCATAGTTTTGTTTTATGTGGGTTTTATAAATTACCCCGCTATGAAAACCTTTGTTTAAAAAAAAGATGTTATTTTTCTAACCTCCATTTGGGTTTACTTGAGGGAGACCCCCTAAAATAGAATGATCTAATCAAAGAGTAAGAATAGAGTATAATTTTTGTTATATAGGACCAGACTGCTCTCACCAGAAAGGCTTTACCACCTTATAATGTCATCCGCGTACACACATACCTGAGTTATTCATAATCAACAGAACATAAGATTTTATGATTTCTATCTAGATAACCACATAATTTCAAACCTCAGAATCCTTAGAAATCATCAGTTAAATTTTACAGAGAAGAAATTGAGCCCTAGAGGTTAAGTGACTGGTAGGAAACAAAAAACTGCTTAGCGTTTGTTTATTCACTTGTAATTGCCAAAATTGGAAGCAACCAGGATGTCCTTTAGTAGGTTACTGCATACCTGTGATGCGAGCAGACAATGAAATATTATTCAGCACTAATAAGAAATAGTGCTGGCTACTTTTATGGCTTTTATCAAGTCATAAAAAGACATGGAAGAACCTTAAATGTATGTTTTTAAGTGAAAAACCAAAAGCTAATCTGCAAAGGCTACCTAGTGTATGACCCTAGTTACATACATGACATTCTGGAAAAGGCAAAACTATGGAGACACTAAAAAGATCCATGGTTGTCAGGGGCTGGGGGGAAGACAGGGAGGAACAGGCAGAGCAGAGAGCATTTTCAGGGCAATGAAACTACTCTATGTGGTACTATAATGATAAACACATGTCATTATACATTTGTCAAAACCCATCGAATGTACAACACTAAGAGTGAACCCTAATGTAAACTATGGACTTTGGGTCATAATAATGGGGCAATGTAGGTTGAACTAGCGTAATAAATGTAGCACTCTGGTGCAGGATTTTGATAGTGGGGGGAGCCTGTTTCCATATGGAAGCAAGAGGTAGATGGGAAATCTCTACCTTCCACTCAATTTTGCTATGAATCTAAAATTGCTCTTAAAAATAAAGTCTGTTTTTTAAAAAGCTGGCATGGAAGTACTGATAAAAAGGCTTAGAAAAAAGGGATTAGAACACACTTCTGTTGTTTTTAATACTTTTGCATTACATGTACTAATGGGGTTTTTTGTTTTTTGGTTTTTTTTTTTTTTTGCACCACATTATATGTTTCTTGAGTAAATCTTTTACTGAATAAAATGCACTTTGGAGATGTCTGAGCTACATTTCCTTAATTGCTAGAAAAACTATACATACTTTACAAAGGTTTTCTGTTACTGTTTGTTCATCTGTGAACTGTTTTTCTCCTCTACCCATCAAGCAGAATCCTGTTACAGACCACACATATTTCCATCAAATCTTCACCTGCTTTGCATAGTAAGATTTTATTGCATATGTTGGTAAAATATTCTTTTCTCACTTTCGTTTCCACGTTAATTTTATTACATTTTGCCGTGTCAACATCTTTTATTTTTTATAAATTCAAATCTTAGTAAATATGCCTTCATCTCTTTTAAAGTAAGCAATGTTTTCCCACTCTACAGCTAGAATATGCCTTTCTAATTCCTTTGTTTTCTGTGTTTAACTTCATGCACTGCACATAATAGGTACTTAATAAATGCAGGCTGAATTTTAAACAAACATTTATAGAACACAAGCTATGAATAAATGGTTATGATAAATGTCATAAGAAAAACACTCTTAAGAGTTTACATTCTAAGAGAAAACAGGAACACACTCTCATAATAAGAATATACAATTCTAAGAATCCCATGTAGGGCTTCCCTGGCAGCGCAGTGGTTGAGAATCTGCCTGCCAATGCAGGGGACATAGGTTCGAGCCCTGGTCTGGGAAGATCCCACGTGCTGCAGAGCAAGTGGGCCCGTGAGCCACAACTACTGAGCCTGCGCAGCTGGAGCCTGTGCTCCGCAACAAGAGAGGCCACAATAGTGAGAGGCCCGCGCACCACGATTAAGAGTGGCCCCCGCTTGCCGCAACTAGAGAAAGCCCTCGCACAGAAACGAAGACCCAACACAGCCAAAAATAAA